TTTTTTTTTTTTTTTTTTTTCTTTTCTCGCTTCTACCACTGTAAAACTTGTGCTGCGTAGTATAGGTACAAGTGAAGAAGTCTGTGCTCGACAGGGATGAATTTTCTATCGAAACTCGAGACCGCTCTGATATGGTCGGCAATATTAGGCCCCCTATGCTTCGGAAAGGCAAACTAATTGTTGTAGATTTAGCTGGTTCTGAACGTATACACAAATCAGGTAATTGTGAGTAGACTGCCGGCTTCAATTTATCTGATTTTTCTGAACTTGTGAATTTTGTTCGCTTGCATTGCATGTTCTTATTTCAGTATTTTATTCTCTACGAACCATGAGCAGGATAATGTCACAAAATGAAATTTGCTGATACTATCCATAGAAGATGAATTTTCACATGAGCTAGTTGAGGTTTTCTGACTCTCGATGCTAAAGCCCAAGATTTGAATCATTTGTACAAGATTTAAATATGCGGAAAAATGTGACCAGCTGAATAGCACTGTAGGATCTTCATTCTGGACTTACCTGGCTGGGTGTTATTTCAATTTATTATATTTAGATGTATATCTGTTTATATATTGGTATACAGAAAAAAAGCTATAAAGTCTACTTTATGTTGTGTTATTCTGTAACTCCTAGTGTATATGACTGAGCATACAGATCACATTTATTACAAGAGTTAACTGACAGTGGGCTTGTTCTCAGATCTATACCGTGTAATTATGCCATATATAGGAAGAGGTTTGCAGGAGACTGTTTTTGCGTCCGTTCTCTGGGCCATTCTTGTTTTGACGTTATGAATGGATTTCCTTCATTGGTTACAGTCTGCAATAGTAATCTGAGATACTGCTAATTGTTCCTTGAAGGAAGCGAGGGACTCTTGTTAGAAGAAGCCAAGTCCATAAACCTTTCTCTTAGTGCTTTAGGAAAGTGTATAAATGCCTTGGCAGAAAATAGTTCACATGTTCCTGTTCGAGATTCAAAGCTCACGAGGTTGCTTAAAGATTCATTTGGAGGTGAGATTTTGTGCTTATTTTTTAAGCATAAATGTATAATATCAAGTGAACTCTAGTGTTTTTGTTGGAAATTCAGTAATTTCATTATCCGTTTTTCTGAACTAGTTCATTCCTCTTTATCATGCCCATTCCTGAAAAAATTGATTGCATGATTCCAAAAGTGATGACTTCATTAATGCAGTGAGGAAATGTATGATTGTTCATGACTTGGTTTTATTTAACTTATGGTAATGCTGCAGGAACATCCAGAACTTCATTAGTTGTCACGATAGGTCCATCTCCACGCCATCGAGCAGAAACAGCAAGCACGATATTGTTTGGTCAAAGGGTGAGTTGTTAGAGTGAGAAGTTATATTTGCGGCACAGAGTAAAAGTAATTTTATTTGTAGGCGACAGTTTTTTGTTACTGGACAAAATAACTTTTCATTTCAGTAAATATGTCTGATTTTCCCATAGGCTATGAAGGTGGAGAACATGCTCAAGATAAAGGAAGAATTTGATTACAAGAGTTTGTCCAAAAGGCTTGAGATAGAAATCGACAAACTTACTGCTGAAAATGAAAGACAGCAAAAAGTATACGACGATGAGATTGAGAGAATCAGATTAGAGGCACAGAAGCGTATTGCTGATGCTGAAAGAACTTATGTAGAAGTCTTGGAGGTATATCTATTACATGCACATGCCTCTGACTGTGCATATCGCAAGTCTGGTGGATAATTACTCGATTCCAGTAACATTTTACTTGAACTCTAGAGTTGCCATTGTCTGCCTTTTGTATTAGGAGGAGAAAACAAAATGCCAGATGGATTATATGGAGTCAATTAAGAAGCTTGAGGAGAAATGGGCCCATAACCAGCAAAAGCTTGTCAGTAATGGAGAGGTATGCTTCTATAGGATGGTGTCACTTCCTCTAGATACTTGTTTGGTACTATTGCAAAATTCAGTCAAGGTTACAAACTTTTCCTTCAGCAGGTTTGCAAGGATGCTGGCGAAGAGGTTGCTGAACTGAAATCATTGCTTCAAAAGGAAGTTCATCTACGAAAGGCAGCCGAAGAGGAAATACAGAACTTCAAAAGTCAGCTACTTCAATTTTCGATGGTGGAGGTATGTTATTACTCAGATTTGGAATTTCTGATATTGATTGTATGAAGTATGATAGCGAGATTTATATTTGATGGATAATGCATGACTAAATAATGTTGTATAGTTGGCAGGTGGAAATGCTAATGACTTTGGTGGCCTTCAAGAAGTGCTGGAAGAGG